ATAATAATAATAATAATAATAATAATAATAATAATAATAATAATAATAATAATAATAATAATTGCGTTTTTATAAAACGGTGCATATATTCCAGCTCCATGCGCGTTGTAACTAGTAATGTTCGCATCCTTTTTTTTGTTGTTAGTGCTTGTTACACCCCATCGACATAAGCTAGTGTCTTGCTTTTTTGTTCTGCTGACTGGCTTACGAAATAGTGCCTCCAGTAAATAAACAATAATACATGTATAATTGATTAAACAAAGAAAAATAAAGAAAACACAAGCAAAAATTTTTTATATATAAAAACACCACAATTATAACAAAACAGAACTGACCTGGAATAACCAACACGTTGGTAACGAGATCAAAGCTGGCGATCGCCATGATGAATATCTGGGTTGCCGTTTTACGGAGCTTCTGGGAGTAGGCAATCAGGACTAGAGTGTTCCCGAACAAACCCACGACAGCGAAGAGGATGAGCAGCACGATGGCGGGAAGCATGATTCGTGTCGTCTGCGCCTGAAGTTCGGCTAAGTACGTTATTTTCTCCGATTCTGTGACGTTATGGAGAGTGGTGTTGTTACCTTTCAGACCATAATATGTTGGCGTTTCAGATGCCATGTTCAGAATTCTGCAAATCAAGAAAAGAATATATGTCACGACGCGATGGAATCAGATGCTCGTCAATTTTTGGGCATATGGAGTTATTGTTTTGCGGGAAAACCTTTCTGTCACATGTTTAAAATGTGTTTTTTCCTAGATGCTGGAGTGGTATTGTTTCACAACGACTGTCAAATTGTGTGTGCCGTTTTAGTAGTAGGTTATACAATTTTGATCTTGCTCCTTTGCAAAAAAAAATATTTAAAAATAGCATACTCAAGTATAAACTACAAGTATATTTCCAAACTTGTTTGACATTGAAAGCTCACTGATTTGACATGAGAGTTCCCTAACGCGGAAAGGCATTTTGCGAAGCCGAGCAATGTGAACCACTTTGGACACCAAAGATAGTCGCAGAAAATCCAGCACGGAAATAGTAGAAGAACCAGACCTCAATGAAAAATAGTGTCATTCAAAGTACATGCATACGATGCGTTGGAAAGGTGCTTTTTTAACCTCTGAGAGAGAGAGAGAGAGAGAGAGAGAGAGAGAGAGAGAGAGAGAGAGAGAGAGAGAGAGAAAGAGAGAGAGAAAGAGAGAGAGGAGGAGAAAGAAGCCAACAATTATAAGCTATACAAATCCAGAGATAGGACTATTAAAAAAACCTAAAGAACTGAAACCCAGATGTGATTGGTCAACCAAATCAGTTGACTACTCACTATTAAAAGACAAAGCCAGAACAACTATCTTTGTTTTTGTTTGGACTTTGACGTGAGGAGACAGAAAGACGTATCTGAATGGTCTTCTCAACACGAAAGAGTACAATTTAAGCAAATGCGATACACCAAGCTGAAAGACGCACACTTGGGTTTATTATCTGAAACAGAGTGACCAGAAGATCAAAGTTTGAGAGTTGTTGAATATCTATGACTGGGCTCATCCATTTTAAATTTTGTTCTAGAAGAGCCCATGCCAGTTTCATCTTCGCGTGGCTCACTCTGTCGGGACAAACACTTTCCACTATTCCCTACCCTAGCTGGGCTAACTTTTTTCTATTTTTCAAATTATGTTCTTCCACTTTTCTGTTCATCATTCTCTGCGACTTTTCTACAGATTTCACACGCCCTTTCCTTGGCCGTTTAACCTGTGGACGCCAAGCTAGAACTTTCTTTGTTATGTAGCTGCCTGATTTCCAGATAGTATGCTCAGTCCAATCCATCTCTACAGCGTTCTTCTGTCGGAAAAGTTTCTGCTTTATATTTACTCATTGGTGACTCTGTCCATCTGATCCTGAGCAACTTCCTCAGACACTTGTTGATGACAATCTGCATCCTCTAGTACTTTGTAAAGAGTGTTTTAGAAGAGCACAGCCCAGCTGCACCATCAAACAATCCACAAGGGTCGTGGAAGCCAAGGAGTTTCTGTTCACATCTGTGGATATGCTTCCGAAGATTCCCTCCCACTATTGCCAGCAAAGCTCTGGAAAACTGTATCTTGATCCCTGATTCTGTAATATGTCGGAGCTTCATTGATTTTTCGAAACAGCCTGCACAGGTTATATGTCAAACTACTCAAATATGTGCTAGATGGAAAGAACATGTCGATCTATGAGCCAAAAAAAAGATCATTGTGAATTGTGCGTGAGTTTTGAGTCTTGACAACGTCAGCTAGACTAAGTGGGAATCTCACATGTCAGAAAAGAAAAGGACAGAGAAATGGCACGCCATGGATAAACAGCTTTGCTCTTGGGCAAGAAGATCTTGTGATGATTTGCATGTATCTTCACGGTTTACTTTTGGCATGGCATTGTCTTTCAATTCCTCTAGCTGTTCTTTCAAAAACCTACACATACTCGTCAATGCGATCCGCATGATTCCATCTACTATTTATGGCACATGGCACGCGATTTAATTACAAATTAATTCCCAAGTTGTTTAATGGACTTTTTTTTCAACGTGCACAAATACATAGAAGGTCATAACTATATATTATTATACATCTACGAGTGTGTGTGTGTGTGTGTGTGTGTGTGTGTGTGTGTGTGTGTGTGTGTGTGTATGTGTGTGTGTGTGTGTGTGTGTGTGTGTGTGTGTGTGTGTGTGTGCGCGCGTGTGTGTGTGTGTGTGTGTGTGTGTGTGTGTGTGTGTGTGTGTGTATTAGCACAAAATTGCATCTGTTTCTAAAGCCTTGAGTGCCTTTTCCACTAAAGCAAACACTGAAATTGAATACAAAACCTTATTAGAGGCCACACTCATATGCAAATAGATAGTATGCACGGCGTAATTGAGCGGTGGTTTTAAATAAAACACACGAAAATACAGTCCACTAGATTATTTTGCCATTTCCAGAAATGCAATTTTTATAATTATATCAACGAAGATCATCTTAAGTGAAATTTGTGGACCACTTTTTCCTCCATGATTTTGCCAAAATTGAAGTCCTCAAAACTGTCAGGTCGGGTAGACAAAAAGAAGAGCAAACTGTTAATGCAATATGAAGCCTCTGATATAATACATAGGAGAAATTCAATGTCAACCCAGCTTCTCCGGTTTTTCAAGATTCGTTGGAAATAAACCGAATGAAGTGAGTCTGTGTGAGGTGATCTGCACTATTGCAAAGAAATGTTTGTAATTAATTAATTAATTTTTAAAAATTATATTAATTTTGTTCTCCTATTACTTTTGTTAAACGTGGATTCATAATGTTAGTTAATCAGCAGTAATAACTTTACTTTAAAGAAGCCTCGCAGCAATCCGCACTCCACCAGACACTAGTGCTTAGATCGCTTCTCTACACTTATCGCGCACACAAAATCTAAAAACACACGGAAGAAAATAGAGACGATTTATAATGACAATAATAATAGTAGACTTAGCTGTCGCCTTCCACAACTTCAGCTTCTTAAGGTTTTGGGAGGAGCTATTTTATCATGAGTGTCGCTACTCATAGACGGAACTGCATGACTCGTGCGACCCGCATACAATTCCCCATTAAGTGGAGAGGTATAAACAAAGGACTGCTTATTATTCACCAATTAAAAAACGTAAGCGTAGGTGGTATAACAAGGGTTGCTTTCCTGTCTCAATTGGTCTTATTTCATAACGGTTGTTTGGGTTGGGAGTTTTTTTTCTTCGGAAAAAAGCAGAGTGAGGTCGGGCTACATGCATTTGCTTGTTTATTTATTCGTTTATTTATTTATTCACTGATTTACTTATCTACTTAACTTTCTGTTTTGGAAAGGGTCTGGGGGGGGGGGGCACCTATCTTTGAATACTTTTATCTCTTGAAATACTGCTGCCAGTTTTCTTCGAGTCCCTTCACTTTTTGTTTATCGAAAACTATTAGAAGTCATTCAACATATTTATATTTGGTTTAGTTCTGCAACAACTTACCATCCAGGTCTGTTTTTATTTTAGTTTACTGGCAAAAAAGAATGCTTTTTTTCCTCATACGTATTCCAGTGCAGTGACAATATCTTTTATCATAATCATCATAAAGTCCCAGATCTGGACTAGACATCGGTGATTCTTGGACTCCTTGGAGAAAATATCGTAAAACTCGAGTATTTATTGTCATGGTGATTCCCCGACACTCACTTGTCCATGTTTTCTAAATAAGTCATTCAGAACCAATCATGACAAGTGCACTCTAAAATGTCTAATTTAGTTCCAAAATCTAGAGCCAATTTATTTGCGCGTAGGTGGAAGTCAGCATCAAAGAGGTTATAACCTCTTTGGTCAGCATCTAAAAATCCAAAACAAAATATACAGAAATACAAAAAAAACACCCCACCCCTCAAACCCCTTTAAAAAAATCCACTTCGCACCAAAACGTGAGGATTGAATCTAATGCAAGCGGGAAAAGATATAGCAAGAGGAACAACGTAGAGCCATTGACGTCATTTCCGTTCTATCAGTTGAAACAAGAAGGGACAAGACTCACGGCGCCTAGCAAATATGCGTTCAGTTCGGTCTTACAGTAAGGGAATTTCAATACATTATGTTTTGATAATGGTCTATATAATTAGACCTAGAATCTATATTACATTAAATGTAGAAAAAAAAGTAGATCTAGATCTAGTATTAATACTCCGTGGCAACTCAGAGAAGCTCCAGAAGCAAAGAGGCAAATTGTGTGTAAGGGCAAACTTTTTTGAGAATAGGGTTCATACTATTTGGAACAATCTTCCCGAATCAGTGGTGTCAGCTCCAAACGTGGACACATTTAAGAGACGTCTGGACGAGTACTGGAAAGATCTCCCAACTATTTACAACCCCACCTGCCAAAACTGGTTTGTCTAGCCTACACGCAATGCATTATTGTCATTTATTACCAGATAGTTGAACAGGCTCTACTTAGAGCCTCAAACAACTAAATCGTCAATGTCAATGTCAATTAGAAAGCCTGTCAAAGTAGCTGGTTTGGGGGGGGGGGGGGGGGGGTTGCAACCCAGACTATAATTTGCAGTTTACTAACTCTCTCTATAGGCCTACAAATGAACGATAGTGACAATATAGAACAGAAGGAACAGAATGAGCAATTTCATTTCTTAGAAAAGAAATCCAACGAAAAGGTATTGATAGAACTATTTCATAAAACAGTTAGACTCTAGATCTAGATCTAGAAATCTACATCTAGATATCTAGATCTAATAATCTAGATCTATAATTAGGAAGCAACAAATTAAATGCAGTTTCTTGGGGCCGTTTCTTGAAATCTTCACGTGACAAAGAGGCTCTGAATTACATCTTGAAGTAAATATATAGAAACCCTCCCGTCTCATAAAGGGTATTATTTTGTAGCTTTTAGTATGTTTTTTAGGGCTCTGAACACGATTTTGGCATTTAAAAACGACGCACATGGTTACTTTAGATGTTACGGCACTTTATTTCAGGGGGGTGGGAGACCCCTCTGAACCCCCCCCCCCCCTTCCCCGCCATACTACACTGCTATAACGTATTCGCACGTCAGGGGGTAACCCCCTGAAACCCCCCCCCCCCCCACCCCCGAATGACTATAAAAGCTTGCATTTTCCAAAAAAAAAAATCCTAAAACTAAGCCTTAACTTTAAAAAACTGACCTTATTTGTATAGGCCTATCCGACGGCACTAAAGTGGTGAAGGAGCTGATTTCCGGTAGTGGATGTGACGCGAAACGGGAGTGCTTCTATAAAAATACCCTTGCGGTCACTGAAACTGAAACTGAAAAAAATAGAGGCAACAGGCCAAGGGGGTAGACGATGAAAAGGAGCAGATGGGTGGAATATACAGGGTTTTCTTTAGAGCATCCGCGCTGACGAATGAATGGAGTACCATAATCTTGGATGTCTGTGTTTCAGATCTGATATTTTGTGATGATGATGACTAACCCCTTTCCTATTCTGTTAACATTATACGCCAACGCCAAAAATGACTGCCCCCTCTTGCAACTTCCTGTGCTCTTGGCAACCTTCTAGTGTTTTCACACTCATCATGCAGCTTGTCGTGGAAGATACATTTTCACCGAAAGTAAATTAATATGTTCTCAACGGCCCTGACTCATCTGTCCACTCTTCAAATGTTAACAAGACAACGTGATCTGCTTATAACTTTATATCATAGCCACATTTAACATATAAAATGAAAAAAGTGGATTTTTAGCGACCTGTTTCGACACGGGAAGGGAAAAATTGAAAAAATGTTGGTTTATTTGTGAAATAGAAGACACATCTGTACGAAAACATTCATTTTGAGCGAGGAAAAGGTAACACAGACAAACACAATCAAAGGAGGGAAAGGAACAAAATTAGGATTATAAATATAAGGCTCTCTTTACCATCCATGAATAGGAAAAAACCTAGTACCAGGACAGTAAGAAGTTTTACGTTTAGAGATGAGATTAGGGAAAGGTAATGAAGAGAAGAGGAGGGGCAGTGGTAGAAAAAAAAGAATACAAGTCTAAGGTTAAGTATACAGATTGATAAACGTAACCAGTTATACAAACATTTATTGATTTCTATAGAAAAAAAAGGGGGGGGGGGCTCTCCGACAACTATCGCTTCTTACAATGAATGCTGCATCTTTTTATAAGCTGTTAGAATATTTTTCCCACAATACAGACTTCTCAAATTGCACCCGTTTAAAAATAAATAAAATAAAGTATAGTATATGTGAGAGGGTATGTTTCCACACGAGACGTGTTCAGGAAAAAAATAATTAAATGCAGAAATGACGGTCAGACCACAGCTCAAACACGCGCACACTGATGCTGTTCGAGATTTTCGTCATCTGGGAAAACAACTGTTTTGATTACTGGTATTGGTACATCGTGTAGGCCTAATATAATAACTTGTCCCCTTTCTTTACTTTAGCCTTAGTCACGTTCAAAGAGAGGTCGGATCTAATGAGGACAACAAGCCGGTCCCGGCAACCTCGTTGAATGCGACACCCACTGTATCTATTTGTGTACTGTACACCTCATATATTTATATATATATATATATATATATATATATATATATATATATATATATATATATATATATATATATATATATATATATATATATATATATATATACCTTTGTACATGGGAAAATACATGAAAGTCATGCACGCATTTTATTTCGACCTAATAAAGCGACAGAAAACAGCATCAAATGTTTTTAAGATTTTCAGTAGAGTGTCAGACAATCATCGTGCCTTAATAAAAAAGTATTAAAAAATATTAATAAATAAATATTTGAACAGACACAAATTATTGACAAGAGGACATTTGTAACGACTGTGGACTGTGGAGGAGAACCGCTTGACTGCTCACTGCTCTTCTGTTGTCGAAAGAGCAACAGATCATCTGTTTGAGGCAATAAAATATCGATTTGTAGATCTAATGGTCTCACAGTCTTGAAAAAAAAATTAGGCTCCATATCTATGTTATAATGTTATAGTTATAGTGATTGTACTCTATTAATGTGGAGATGTTTGTGCACTTAGTGTGGGTGGTTGGCGAGTGCTCAGGTGTGGTTTGCTCCTTCTTTCCTATCAAAACAACTATCGTCTTTATCTCACCATCTTCTTTTTTATGTTTGTTACTGTCTTGTAACACCTCTAATCTTCGGCACTTATACAACCTAATTATGTTGCAAGTGCCGTAAAACGCTTACTAAAACAAAACAAAACAAAAAGGTGCACTTAGTACTCTTTTATTATTTGTCAAACATGAGGTTGCAGCCAGTTAGCGACTTTGATATACATGGAGGCTACATTTATATTTGATCAGAGAAAATTGTTTAAAACAGCTACCATTATCTTAAAAATTGACTGACTGAAAGGTAAACAAATGGTAGCAAAATTCCTAGGAGATGTAGGCCTAAACTATATGGAACAGATACATTTGGCATAGATCTACAGTTATTTTGAAAATCTAGTTTCTGGTACCTAGTTGTAACAGTGACACTGACAGTAAGAGCACGTGACGGGCGACTGTCGAATGTGAAGGAAACTGAGTGCACGGAAATACATGTACAAGTATCAATGATTTTCAGTTTGTGACTTCGATAATTGCAATATTGCTACTACATCTTTTTTATTCAGGGATTTTCACGCCCCCATCGAAATATCTGAGATGGTGCAACTGTTCTTCACTGAAGACAAGATCATCAGTACTTAGTACTTGTAAAGTACATGACGTCACGATCAGTACGTGTAAAGTACATGACGTCAGAATCGGTGTTGTAAAGTAAATGACAAGATCATCAGTTATGTAAAGCTGTCTCCGTCGTTTTATGCAAGAAAAATTATGAAATTATGCAAACTGAGCCAAAAAAGTGTGAAAATATGCGATTCTGTTAATTTTAACAAACTATGATATGTAGTGTCTTTAGGCCATTCCCAAAGGGGGGACATTTCTCGTTCAAGCACAGTAGAATTGTAAATGGGCTAATTCATGTCACGCCCATAACTGTGCCTGATGTAAAACAGGGAACTGCTGCTTTTTCTTTCTTAATCCTTACTTTTGTAATTTTCCTTTACTTCTTTTGTATGTTTGTCACTCTCTTGCGACCTGCTATTTCCGGGGGTGCCTTGATAGTCGAAGCAGACCTTGTGCTGTTGAAGCTAGAGAGGTGAGCAGAATAAGTCTGATTCCCTGTAAAGACTACTCTGTTGACACCC